GCTGCGATCACGCTTACCTTTGCCCATCTGATCCTACTATAAATTCAGTCACGCGCAGATAATTCCTACAATCAGCAATTCAGAAAACACTATGGAGGAGCAATGAAAGAAGCTGTTCATTTCCATATTCCGTGTACCGATACTGTTAAAAGTAGTCTGATTTATGTATATTGTTCTTAGACTCATTTTCATCGGAAGAATCTTAGCAACTTTAAGATAAAATGAACATTCGTGTAGAAATTGTTAGTAATTATTCAAAAAGCTTCTTAAATAATTACAGCAACCCTACACGTATCTATAGTACTTGTTATGATATTTAATGCGTTAAATAAATATTTGCATAACATCTATTTCTTCAGTTGTATCCATGAGCATATAAAATTGCATAAATTCGCAACGGTCTTGGCGACCAAACTTATTAGTAGAGAAATAGAGCACGAGCAGACATATATTTCACTTATTAAATATCAGAACGAGTATTCTACATTGAATATTTAATAATAATATCATACAATATTTTTGTATCATACGTGCATTCTATACATTTCTGTACCTTTAAATTATGCATAAATGCATAAAAATCCACAGTCTACTCATCATGCAAAATATTTCTTTCAGTTAGTTCTTTAAAACTTCAAACGACAGAAGAATGGTCTCTTTCCTTCTGCAACAATCTTGATAGGGGAAGAATCATAATAAATAATAAATCGCATTCCGCAACGATGATTGATATGAAGAATTGCACGCTATAATACTTCTGAGATTCTTCAAGGCTATCGAGATTCGAAATACTCAAATTAATCTTACAGCAGTATCAGTATAAGATTGGTAAGCGTTGGTGCGTATCCACAGCCACGGATTTCACCTAGGAATTCTATACGTATGTATGTTGGCAATTGTTGCACGTGTTGGTTACCCATAATCTAGTGATTTCGTATAATATCGGCTCGAGAACAGAGATACTGCAATATAATAGAGTAAAAACATTTCTTAATTTCGAAGATGCACATTATAAAATGCTTTGTTTGATCTTGTTTAATCTTAAATGGTATTCCTACGTTACTTAGCCTTCATCGAGGCGAACAAGCATCGATTCTCGAGAAATTCCATCAACTTAATAGCGTGCTAAGCTGAACCAGCTTGCATGGATCTTGATCACCTTCGGGTGAAATAAGGACCATTTATGCATATTGATAACTTTACCCCTTGTTCACTTTTTGTATCAGGATATGTATCCATTTTTTTTCGACAAGTCAAGCGGTAATTCACCGGGGTCGGAGTTTTCGAAAATTCAGACCAAGGATATATGATTGCAATGTACTTTTTATTATTTAGCCTATGCACAGGACGAATGTGCGAGTCTAAATTGTAGATGAACAGGATTTTGAATCGTAAAATCGAAGACTTATGGAATTTTCAATCGTACAATTACATACTCGAAAAATTCTGAATGATAATGCTATAGAATTACAGAATTACATTTTGAATTATACGTAGAATTAGAATTCGAACATATTTGTTGTATTGACAAAAAGGACGAAGTAGCGTAATATATATTTAAAGATAATAATTTGGCATTCACGATAAAAGGTCTGTTGTGAGTTCTGGTTTGAAGGCCAATCAAGCAGCTTCAAGTAAATTAATTAATTCACGAAGCAATTTGCTAGCATGACAAATAAATTTTAAATGAAGTCTCCGTTATATCGTGGTGAGATTGCTGTTTCCTTTTTAAATAAGCGATGCGTATATTGTGTTGAATTTGACCGTGACTATAAGATACTCACAATGGTAAAAGAATGAATCGTTTTATTGACAATGTCGAAGATGAGGGTCGGTTAAATAGCAAGCTATAGAGGAGTTTCAAAACATCGCGTTCGGCGTACTATAGGGTGAATCATAATACGTAATAAGAAAACCGAATTTGGAACGTACAATATTTTTCAATATGCGATGTAATTTTATCCTATTGCATATAATTTTGTTATTTAATCTTGGATTATTCAAAGTGTATGGAGTACCGTTAAATTCATTAATGAATGGATTTGTCTGCTTTCGCATATTTAATAACGTTACCACTTTCGATATTTTATTTATATTTAAATAACTCTAAGTGCAGGTGTACACTGCACACGAGTTACAAGCAAAGTGTACGCTGTAAAATCGCGTCCGGTATATCAGAGGATGAATTAGCAATATGTACTGATCTCCATGGTACATTTTACAGGCAGTGTACTTTTGACAGCTAATTTAATGGGAATGAGCATCGAGCGACGTAATTATAAGGCGATAGAAACGAAAAGAAAATTAAGATAATAACCAGGTTGAAGGGCTACTTTCCTTAGAGATGACATTATCGTTTAGGGATATGAAATCGTAGACAAGAAAGATTGATCTTATTGGTAACTAACTATTTAGAAGAATTGATAACAGCCGTTTAATATTTTTCTCTCCTTCTTTACGTAGGATATACTGACACGTATTTGTTAATTGTAACTTGTCACTTGCCAATTCGCTGACATTATTAATTAGTAAATTATTGTACAAATTAGAAGTTATGTACCGTAATGATCAATAATGTCGTAAATTGCGATAACCAGATTGCGGATATTTACTCGTTTATAGAACATTTAAATCTTCAGAAATCTACAAGATATAGGTAATATAAAAAAACGTACGAAATATTCTTAAGAAATGTAATTTCAGAGCTTTTAGTATCTCTATTATAATGGCTACATTGTATAGTATACTATACTATACTATGTTATATTACATAGTTTGTATAATAGTAACGTTATACTATACTAAACAGGAACAACATGAAAAATGAAGCAACGAAAAGTGCTTCTCGTAGATGTAACATTCACAGTCAGATCTTAAGACAATTCTCAAGATTCAAGACAATATGCATATAGCATTCGCATACGCGAATCACCGATTCTAGTAAAATATCGTAATATATTATGCATAGAAACTTGATAAAATCTATATTTATAACTACGGATACGGAAATCAATTAATTATCATAAAGTATACCATGACAGATGATGTAGATGGTAGATAGCAGCGGTTCTGGCCGCTATAGTGAATGAACTAGAAAAAGAAAAATCTGTTAATACATTTCGCATACATTTATTACGACACAAGAAACCATTAATTCGGATAAAATACAAAACGACATTCTGAAAGATGGAATAATGCAAATTGTTCGAAAAATCGACGTGTAGATATTTAAACAACTATAGATAATTACTAGGAACGGTATTTTCTGCGTAGATGTATTCATTTCCTAAAGGAGTCGGAGAACGAATATCAGGCATTCAGTTTTTGATAAAACTTCGATGTTTTATAGTTGGAGGGGAACGGAGATATTACGCGATACTGAAAATCAAATGATTCTTTATCAAGATAACAACGTGGGAATCCGAGGTTTGGTCGTCATAAAAAATATATGCTACCGGTGAAGGGTTAACACTTCGTTATCCGACACCGAGCAATCACCTATCTCACAGCGAATATGTTTCCCATCGAAGCTGACAAGAAACGACGACACAAGGACGCACGTGTATAAATGTGTATATCTGCGTCGAAGAGGAAACACGCCAGGCGTTGTAACCGGTATATGCACGAGAATATTCACGTATAGGCCTATAAAAGTCTTCGCAACGTTTAACTGCGGCGTCCCAGGTATAAACTAAGGACTATATTGCTTATATAATGCAGAAATATACTGCGGCTAAGGCGATGCAACGCTTTCATACGTCTCGTACCGACCGACCAACTCTCATGGTTTTCCTGCACTAAAATTTCCTAGCTTCTCCTTGTCCAAGGTACAGAGTTTCTTGCGTTTCACTTTCTTATCATCGTGTTGATATTATCAATCGATATAACGCGATATAGCGATTTCAGTACAAATAGATAAATAAATATGGCTTAGGTAAGAACAATGTACAGTTTGTTAATGACGATCTCTCACGTTAATGACGTGCAAAAACGATTTGCTGAAAATTTCGAGGCTCCTTCTCGGAATGAATGAACGTTCATACTGTTATTTCGTTAACTTTACTCGTAAAGTTGTAATGTGTACATCTCTATGTATCATGACATTTAAGTTATCCTTCATTGCAAGTATGGAACATCGTAATATCACGATGGTCTCAAATATGTACGCATACTTGACAAATATTAATGAGATGTGTATACGTGTAGATTAGCTGACATAATAGGTTGAATGTAGCCGGATCAAAATTAGACACTTATTACAATTAGTACAATTAGTATTCCGTACGAGATATCTCGCGTTTCTTATTATATCGCTGCGGTTATTCACCAGATATATGTCGTTTTTTGCATTCTATCGTTACAGAGCGTTGAAGGGATATTTCATATTTTATATTATCGATCAGAAACGATAATTATAACTTTAAATTCATTTTCTAGAGCACTTGGGTGAATAGTGATAAAAGAATTAATTGTGAGATGTTTTAGAAACTGCTTTTTTTTTTTATTGACCGTTTTCAATTCATTATTGAAAATTTTAAATAAATAATTATATGTAAGACATCTTGCTGATGATATTCAACTGTAAGAAACGGGCATCTATACTTGGTAAACTGCAACGGGTTTACCTTTCACCATGACAATGCTTAACCGCGCCTTATTTTGTAAAAAAAGTAAAGCAACCTTGAGTGAGAAGCTGCATCCAGATATTATATCTACATATTTTTATCTCTTCGTACACTGAAAAGTTTGCAAGCATTTAAAAAAATGAACACTGCTGGATAAATTAATTCTCTAATCATAAGAAAGAAGTGAAGTCTTATAATAAAGATACGAGGACGTTGTTTACGTAATATAAGATACATATTTACATACTAATTGATGTTAATTCGAATTCTGAATCTAATTAATAAAAGGAGCATAGCAGTTTTAATGTAGAAATTGATGGTAACAATTCCAAATCAAAAGTGATAAAAATGTAAAAATAGTTGAGAGACTCGCGAGATTTTGTAAAAATATTATACTCGATATTTTTTAAGTATTAAGGACGATAGAACAAATTTAATGGATAGAAACCAAATAAAACACGTATTTCTCATTTTAAAATTGTTTCATCGTATGTCATTCGTTTCTTAATGTATAAAATTGTACACTGCACTGCAAAGTAATCTTTTCGTGCAGATTCCAATTGCTTCGATAGAAATAAAATATTGTTATTATCCTAAATCTCTTCACGTAGGAAATTTTAGATATTTTCATGCAACCGAAAATTGTATTTTTCTTTTTAACGAAATAATTGTGTTAAAAGTTTTTTTTTGTTATTTAAAATTCATTTAAGACTGCTATTCGAGCCATTCATGTCCAATATCTTTTTTACAGTGTCGGTTTCTGTTAGGATAGAAAATATGTAAAATGCATTGTTTTGCCTTACTACCGCTATAATTAAAATTCTACGGTATGTGCGAACAAATTACAGCTGGCGTATAATTTAAATTTCCATAACGTGCGTAACGCCCTGACAATGTATAACTGTATATATAAATCGTAAGTAGGTAAGTACAAAATAAAGTATACAAAAATATGTGCGTTTCGCATATCTGATTAACATGATATAGATAATATACATTTTTCAGAATAAAACGATACCATGTACCTAAAAATTAAAATTTCGAACGGATTAGTTTATTACTGGTGTTATTATATTATATTAGTGCAATATGTAGACACGAATTTGATGTACAAAACAGAGATTTGCGCGATCTCAAAAAAAGGATAATTGTTATTAGGCTACAGATCGTTATGGAGAGATTCATTGTATTCGCTAAATATCATAACCGATACTATAGTTTGCGTATTATAAGTATATATTTTATGCATTTTTGCGTCTTTAATTTTGTTCATAAATGCGTAAAAGTCCACAATCTACGTAAACGGATTATTACAAATCATAGCGCTATAAATACTTTGATTGCTTCAAACTTTTGGAAACCATGGGATTTACGTGGAGAAAGAAACAGCAAAAAAAAAAAGAAAAAAAGAACTAATTTTTGAAATTGCCTTTCGCAACTGTAACCTAAAAAGCGGAGTTCGGTGACGCAAATTGCATTCACGCAACGTTGGGATAATACTAACTCTCTTAATGGGTTAATAACAAGGAACAGCGAACCATCCTTTCTCGAACGTCAAAAAAGGACGATCGACGTTCGAAGCTTTTATTCCAAAGGGCCGAGAGATTTTTTCCTTCGTGTTATTATCATCGTTCTAGCTTTAGCTACAGATTAGTTACATTTAAATAAATTACAGCGCACAGAAGTCTCCATGCACGCTATTACTCACAAATGACATTCGTGCACGCGAAAGCTAGAGTCTAATTGACGAAAAATGATCGTTCATCTTCGAAGAAACGAATTAGGAAAAATTGATCGCGTGTAAGGAAGGAACCGAAAAATATGAAATCAAAAAATGTAATAATAACGAGCTCGATCTTAAAACGAACAACAAGTCGGACTTGTTTCTAGCACGATGCGAGAACAATGTTCGTAGAAACAATCATCTACGCTACAAACAACTGTACCTTCTGTCGAAGAATTGAAATAAGTGGAACACCTTGTTAATTAATGTAGAGGATTGGTGGGGAATGATACTGTTACGCTGGTGAGATAATGCAACGCGCGATGAGTTATTAGAAAAAGATCCGACTCTAAAGTAGAAAGTGTAAAAGTGCAGTTAAATGAGACAATTAACAGAAAATTATGGATTATTAACGCAGATAAGTCAATTAGTAGGAAATTAAAAGTAAAGGAAACTGCATGGAAATATGTACGCACTGATATAATAATCCTGGAAGGATGCTGATAGAGTTTATTAGATGGTTCGAAGATACTACAATTTTTATTTCTACTGATAATTCATCACGACTCTGTTAAATGTATAGCCAGTGTTAATTTTACACGACTAATGAAGAAGTAAAGTATTATTATATTTTTATTTTACTTACTGTTTGAAATACTTAGATTATTAGCAGATACTATCTGCTGCGTAATTTCTTATACACCTTATGTTATCGAATAATTGATATCTATAGTATAGTATAATGTAGCATACCTGTAGTATAATTACATTGTTCGATACAGGTCTAAATTATTGTTTATCTTAATACATACGTTTATTCAAATATCATATGCGTTGTATCAACGTTAATAAAATTATATCTTCGCTTCAAATTTACATATAACAATATTTATATCGCGATGCTTCTCCTAAGCAATCGAATTGTACTACACAAAGTCCCCGTAAATAATTTCCAAGATAATGAAGTACTTTCTAATCATTAAAGATGCGTCAATTAAAAACATTATAATATTCATTATCTTTATGTAGATTAATGCGAGAAGACACGAGAAGAGAATATCTGCAGGTAAAACGACTAATTTTCAATGAGGCCCTAGCTTAACAAGTCATGATGCAACGACAAACGTGTACGTAACTATGAAGCAATAGGTAGAAAGATAAGACGAGTTCTTCAACTTATTTCAAACATTATTCAAACCGGCGAGTCTCGTGTAATCTGCATAAACCGTACTATCAGTCAGTTCTTCAGCTTTCGCCATCTTCTTCGCATCTTCTTCGTCGATCCACATTGCGAAATGGAACCGGTACATATACGTTACTCTGTATGCGTACTATCTATACATTATGTATGTGTATAAGTCTCTGTTCAATGCGTTTGTTCATCCTTCCTCTTCAATCGCGTCCAAAGTAATGCGACAAACGTATTCACGAAACGTACTCGACGCATCTATGCAAATGATTTTAACACTTTGTCGGACTAACGATTGTATCATTTAAATTTATCAAAATTTTAAAATACATTAAGAAAGCTTTAATTCAGATATTGAACTACACAATATTTTCCTGAATATGAATTCAAATTTTGTTAATCATATTTTAGCATATCGTCCAGCAGGATTGTTACAGACAAAATGATGTCAATTTTCCTAATCGCCAGTCCAATTTTAATATACGACGTATTGATAAATCCAAGTTTTGAAAAAAAGAAAGATATGAAAAAGGTACTTCCTAAGAGTCTATGTTTCTCAATAAGTTATGGCACAGTGACTGGATAAAAGAAGAATGCAGACTCGGGTCTTGGCCGATCAGAATTTAATCGATCTGGCCTTTCGTCTCCTAACCGCTTTTTATAATATTTTTAAGTTTTTGTATCCTACCCCGGCTGATCTACATGTACATTGCGCGTCAGATTGAACTACTTTCTTATTGCTAAATCTTTTTCAGAGAGAAAATTTTTTCCCTGCACACTCCTGACTTTTATAAATTACGGTAAAATGACTAGACTGAAATGAAAATGAATATGGTAATGTGCAATATCGAATATTTCCAGACTTCAACGAGTCTAAAGCGCGATATTTCACTAATTATGTTTTTGTCTACTAAACTATTTTGCAACTGTCTATGAGAAACTGAAGAGATATTGGTGTTGCATTTGGCGAATCTGTTACATCTACATCTGTTACATTTACGAACATAAATAGGAAACTGTAATATCGTAGTTGAAACGAAATTTTAATACGCGATAAAAACGACGGGGCATACCGATTCATGTTCTGATTAAAGCTTTCCTCGTTAACGTGAAACTTCGATTAGTATTCCACACGAAACAAACATGAAATATTGCGAAATATTATTTGTGAAAATTCTAATGTAAATTTTCTTAATGGAATCACACGTTTTATTATATATTTCAAGATCATTTCACCGATGTGTATAATTTGAACAAAATTTTATCGAATACTTTTCAATGGCTTGCAAATATCAACGAATGTTGTATAAGTAACAATTTGAAAAAGATCTAAATATTTTATTAAGCTTCTTTTATATAAAATATTTCTTCGCATTTTTAGCAATTAGCGAGACGGTACTGTGTATATATTTAAACCGCACATACCGTCTACAACACAACAGGAGGACAAGGATAGGAGTAGAAAGTTCACGCATCCTGAGTAACGCCATGAATCGTATCAGCATTTATTTAACGCGTTATAGTATAACAATTAAATACGCCGAATACACTAGGGTTCACGAATAACGATACGTGCATGCTTCGGAGATTTTGTTGTTTATCGAAAATTGCGCTCACGATGTCCCGCCTCGCGCACTTGTAGTTCGACCATACCTCGTTTGTCCCTTTTCTCGATGTATCGTAAGTAAAATTGCAAAATCGTAAAAGTTTGAATTTCACGATGCACGCGCAACACCCGTTTCATTTATAGATCGTTAGATAAATAACTACAATGGTCAGATTGATCGATACGAGTAGATAAATCCCGATAAATTGGATACAATACGGTCTCTGGCTATCGTCTCTCTTCCTCTCTTCCTTCTTCCCTTGTGTTGTTTCGTTCCTCTGCCACGCTACTCCTGGCGGTCATCGTTCCGGACACTTTTACACGATACCTTACAAGCTGTAAAAACAAAAGTGTCACCGGCCACGATGTTATAAAATTCTCGTTATGTTCATCCACTCGTACACGCTGTCGTTTACATCCACGTAAACGCTATGAAGGGAAGAGGGAGAAAGGATGGACGAGGAAAAACGTGGATGACGTTATGCTTCGAAATTGCTACTCGGTCTCCATATTACGCCCCGTTATAATCTCTGTTTCCGGAATGATTTAATACATAGTATACGACCGTGATAGTAAGCCATGTTATTTGCTTCTCCTTTTCCCTTTTTTTAGCTTCTTGTATGTTTTTCACACTAGAACCGTGTATACAGCCATTTTCACTGCCCTTGCAGTTTTCTTCTTTTAGTATTTTCCGCTCTCCTTAGTAAATACTTAATTATCGAACTGTGAATTTGTATGGAAATTCATGCTTTTGAGAATGTAATTCAAGAATGACGTATTATTATTATTTCGTGAGTTGTTAAGTAATTGGGACCTCGATGGAAAATTGTTTCACCTATCAAATATCATAAAAAGCAGTATATTTTGGATATTTCGTGTATTCTTTAATATTATGTGCATTCTGTGCAATTTTGCATTTACAATTACATTAAATTATTATCACTTTGTAACTGTATCGAAGGTATACATTGTCGCTAACCCTTTCGCTACGGAGATAATTATATACCTACTCGATACAAAATCTTCGTATGTACACGCGATAAAACTCTAATTAATAGGTTGTCGATACTAAAATCGATTGACTCGATTTATTGAAAAAAATACGTGATTTACCTCATAATCTTTTATTTATAATTACATGCTACTTACAAAGATAACCAGTCAGTGTATTAAAAATAAATATTATAGATCATAAAACATTGTAAATTTCGTCGAACGCACCAGCGACGTATGACTATATAGTCACCGTCAGTAACGAAAGGGTTACAGACTAACAGCATTTTCTTTTTCTAAATATGAAACATTAAACGCTATTACCGACATATAAAAGTTGAAAGTAAAATTTGGGACTTAATTAGTGAATAACGTTAAAAATATAAATATTTACAAAGATAAATAACATTTCAATAACAATGTGCTGCTTGAACCATTCTAGATTCGTATTTGTAGAATACGATTACTCTAAACGCAATACAAATAAAGATCACAGGAGAAAATTTTACGAGTCAACCTCTATTGATTTGTCTGACATTAATGCCATTTTGTATTCAAATGGAAATACTTTAATGCGACGTAATTACAATTGAAAATAGAAAATCACGTCTAACATAAAGAAAACGATAAATAAATAAAGATTAAATAAAAAACTTTTGGTAACATGGAATTAGTTGAACAAGTATTAAATATGAAAGTCACTCTCTTTTAAAATAAAAAAAAAGATGCGATTTATGTCGATCTTCTTTTGTATTCTTCAAACGTATATTTTCGTCAATTTAGTAACATTCGTTCGATACAATTGCGCGACTAGGAACATTAATGTGTGGTCGAAATCGTCGAGCCGAATTTGTTTGAATTATCGAATTTAATTGCCCTTTAATTTTAAGTTCAAAGCGAACGATCCATTGTTAATTTATCATACATCGTTACAACATAGTACAATAAAAATAAGTATGATCACGATTGAAAAGTAAAGAAGGATATGGTGGCGATAGATACGCCACGAGGTCAACGTACTTACGTACGTAGAAAAACGTACCTATATCACTTTGTGCAAATTATCAGCACTTTTCGGGAAAAATAGAAATCTATTTAATAACTCCCATAATTGAAGTGACGCAGAGCGTATCTAGATTTGGTTGGACCTTGCAAAAATAATATGTGTCTGAGATATACGCGTATTTCGAGGGGAAAATGTACGCGATCATTGCAACGGACTCACATCTCACAAGAGAAAATAGCGTAAGCAGGCGCACTGCATGCTCCTTTATGACGACTATTAAACGGAACCTTTGAAATTTGTTCTATAAACAGTACTCAGTCAATTAGGAATTGAATACGATGCGGAACATCTGGGAACTTGTCTAGTATTTGTTTCAAGAAATAATATTTCAGCCAAAAATGATTGTTACCATCTCTGAATAACCGCGATTGTTTTTAAAATCGCGCATCGAATGTAAGTACATTCTAGAGGATTTCGTTACATCGAAGCATTTGAAATTTTATTACAATTTAAACGATTTATGACAAAATTAAGCTAAACTGTTTTCTTATATATATATAGGGAAAGTTGTTCGTGATAACGTGAAAGATAATCGAACACTTTATAACAAACGAATACGTTGATCTTATGATGATGATTGCAAGAAAAGATAGGTTGACTTGCTCCTCGATAAAGAAATCTTCGAAATTCGTTTTTCTAGTCTTGGATCAAGATATATTCGCTCACTATCTTTACAGCGTAAAATCATTAAGAATATATGTAACTGATTTTTTAAAGGAGAGTAACACGTCGATTTATTTGCGGCCTTAGATATCAATTCAGACTTGGAAAATTCAGCAATCAGCAAAAATTATACGAATTCTAATCGTTTTAACCATGACCTAATATAATGAATTTACTAGAAGTAACATTGCTTTTAAGAAAAATCAACCTGACTTATATTTATACTGTAAGAATTGAATTACAATAAAATATGAAGATTGAGCTATTTTAATGGAAAAATAACTAACAATCGTCGATGAAACGAATTACAGAAATAAAGTAAACACAGAAACAAAAAGATATGTATTAAGGGATCTTGGTCACTTTAATTAAATAGCCTATTTACAAAAAACTGAAACAATCCACCTTACTTGACAAAAGAAAAATTAAAGGAAAGCACGCTTTACATATTAAAAAGAAACTCAAGTCAATGTTCGCTGAGTTTTCTCTTATCCTGTATAACGAGGTCAAGTTTATTCCTTAATAAACTAAATATTTTCGAAGAGAAACTTTTTTACACTCTCATTATATATATTATATATAATGTATTTCTTATAGTAGTATAGTATTAAATAGTATTCTATATAGTATTAAATAATATTCCTTTGTAACGTATATTTTTTCCATTAGATCATCGTATCTTCATATTGAGTCTGCAGCTCCCGCCTTTCCCTCGCGCTATAATATACGTAACACTATCTGGACGCTTTTCCGTGCATACTATGGTAATTTTTGCTCATCGATAACACGTAAAATTTTATTACCGAAAGCGCGAACGTAAAGCATATTTCCGTTCGAACGAGCGCGCTCCAGCCAATTTCTTTCTCTCTTCGATATCCTTCACATTTCTTTCAACACCTGGAACCGCGTCGATGTCAAAAGTTTTCCATTGAAGTTGACGGTTTTAGGCAACGAGCTGTCGGAAGTACGAAATTACAGGGCATTCATTCGTTTCCTTCCGTGTTCCGATCGTTTATGCTAAACATTACTGGGTTTTGATGTGCATGAAACATCTGACATATCATTAGATACAAGAAGGCATTAAGACGGCAAAACAGCAGGGTGCATGAATCGCGAGGTGTATCGTGTCGTACCTGCGACTCCACCTTTATTCAGAAACCAATACGAATGCCTCGAGGTGGTATTTTCAATGATACATGCCAAATCAAATTGACACTTAGAACGTTCCATAGCTCATCGCATAACTTTCCATATGACGGTAACTACTCGAACAGAATGGATTTGGAAACGTGTGTTATGTATGCAAATTTTCTTGATTGAACTTCAGAATGAATATATTATAACGCCAACCTGCATCTTGCGTTGTATCTGTAATTTCTACTTATAAACATTTTTTACGATGGAATTAATTTATGTGGACGACTGAGGAAACCATACTAATTAATTATTTTATTTATAAATTATGAGAATGATAGTTTTAATAGTTTCATTAACGCAGAAACAATGTCACGAAATATCGTAACAAGTAAATATAAATAATCACAATTATTAGATATAAAGAAATGCCTAAGAATTTTGAAAGTTTTTAAATTATATCGTGAATTAATTTTTGTTATAGAAGATTAATACTAATATAAATATAAATATATAAAATTGTCCCTTATCGATTTTTCCTTTATAACAAAATTATTTTTATTTCAATAACATATACTACTTACTTTAGATAGATATTACACTTGTATGGCTCTAAATTAATATGGGAAAGCTTCCAACGAGCGATAAATTTTCGACTAATAACGCAACGTTTCGGTCACGAAATCAAATTTACGAACCTCGAGTACACAATTGAAAAGTTCCTGCATAGAACTGTATTTTTCGCATAAACTTTCTAAAAATTTACATTAACGTATACCAGACGTAAAAATTTAAGCTTCGTATTGACAATCCTTTTTAAAACAAGTGCACATTAAATAAAAAAAACAAGAAATATTACCTACATGAGAAACTTAAAAAATTCAATGTAAAAATAAATTTCTAGCATACAAACTCAACCACCTCTGTAACATTCGTAACGATATAAATATTTTCACGCTTTATCTATAGAATTCAATGCTGTCGCAATAATTTACAGATTAATAGAATGTGTGGATTAGATAATTATTTCAAGGATTTCAAATCAGATGAGATTTATTGTAGTCACTAAATTCAATCCTCTTTCTTGCTGGACTATCCTGTCAAACAGAACCCGTCGTTTGTTAAATTTAAATCATTCAGAAGTCTCGCAAAAGCCGAATTAACACAAACAAATAATAAACGATGCTTACAAACCGACCACAAAATTCTCTGAATACATTCTGCACCTCAGCGGCTTTCATGTATTGATTTCTTTCTTTGAAAAAAAAAGAAACAAACAGAAAAGGAAAGAAAGAAAAAATTGCGAAATTAAGATATTTCCTCCGATATCGACCACCTTCGTAGCTTTTTGTCAGATCCATCAAGATATTTTAACCGCAATCGTTCTTCCCCACAATTCATTCGCAAGAGAAGGCTGAATTTATCCGTTCGTTTTACTTTGAGCGTACGACCGTGTCATTTCCGGTATACCAGTCACGAAACACGCCATTTTCTTAATTTCATGGCGTAATTTTATACATGCACACGCATTCGAAACGTGACCAGCGCTCGTACATCCATGATCAATCCTCTAACATCATTAATACGCTTTGATTATTCTCGTTTTCTATATTCTCGATCTGTATTTCTTTTCCTCGATATACATATTCAATTGCCGATTATGAACAAATTCCGCATATCTGCTCAATAATAATTCAACTAGATCGAATGCAATCTATCGGTAGACCGTTTCTTCGATCGAATTCTCTGTCCGTGGGTGCGATCACATTTCGTGGAAGTAAATAGAAAAATATCTGTAAGCGTTGGCGTGTAAATGAAATACACAGGCCGATGATGCGCATTGATTCTGAAGTGGTAAGCGTCAATGGCACGCATACTCGTTATAGGAGCGCAAATTCGTTTAAATGCGAGTCATTTCGGAGCAAGTCATTAAGCTCTGTACGGATAACAACCAATTAGGTTTCGACATCAGATTTTTGCTCGGAACGTGTTCTCCGTGGTATGGATATGAAAAAAAGAAGGTAAAGCAAGAGAGAAAAATAGAAAGAAGGAACGAAGGTACGGAGGGAAGGGGTGAAAGAAGGATCACGGTGTGTCTCTGAGAAGGAAAGAAGAGGAGGATACCAACCGACGCGAGGCGGAGTGCGGAGGAAAAAAGGGAGGTAAGAATGAAACAGCATATCGAAGAGACAGCTCTCGGTGTTCTTATTTGAAAATTAATTTGCCGAGAAATGGAACGACCAGTTTTTCAGCCAACGTTTTGTCACATCACGTCCGTGCAACTAAAATATCCACCTATTTCTTGATTGCGCGTCCGTGTATCTCTTTACCCGTAGGTTTAGGACGCGAACATTCGCGTTAGTATAATCTATCGCTTCATAGTAAAAGGTGCTGCGAGCTCTATCATTCCGCCTAATACAAACACGTTTATGATCGATCTTCGCATATAATAGCACGCTTGGCAACAACGGAAAGCTTTCTGGCTAAACACAACTGAACCAGTTTTGCGCATACTTCGAAACTTGCTCGATTCGAATAAACACAGAGAATTCGTATATTATACCGAATCGAGCAAAGGAACTACTGGAATCGCACGATGCAATTAAACCATAACATGTCAAATATCTGTCGGCAGTTCTAAAGCAATTCTCGACGCTCTGTCTGGGTTTCCCATCGGAATCGATTTTCTTTAAGATCCGACTCCAACCAAGCGTGTGACTAGCTGAAATTCGTCGACGATCGTTGCTCTTTGACGGAGCGAAAGATACGCAACAAGATCGCAAGATTCGCCCACAAAATGAGACCTTAATGCTTACATATGTACGTGTCCGCGGTTAAATCACGGGAACATGCACGCACGCATTTAATTAATCGCGCGATCTCCTTTCAATGCACCCGTTTTACTCTCAAATACACCATTTTCTACCTTGTTTTTAATTACGTTGTTCGTTCGCATATCTGTACAACAGTGCTCGCTTAGATTCCAATAGAATTGTTTCACCTAAATTCAAATCAGCCAGTTCCGCTACTGCCCGTTACTCGGACTCTACCAAACTGTTTCAATCGCGTGATCTAAATCTATTTGTGAAAGAAGCGAATAAAAAATAGCGAGAATAAACGAGAAATATACTTGTTTCGCTTGTTTTCGCTAGATTTGTTCCTTTTTCTAGCCGAGGGATTCGAGGGAATCGTTACCCATTCTTTGAAAGCTACAATCCGCACTGCCGATTTGTTGAAATTTAAGCGAACACGTATATATTATCATTCGCTACGAATCTTCCAACGCGTCACTTGCCTCACCTTCTTTTCTCATTGTTCGCTTGCCTTTCGTTCGATCGGTACCATAGCAGTTCATATTAAGCATCCAAGATTAACATGATTATCAAAGGAACATGGTTGGAGATATCACGTTAGAAATTTGTCGAGGTAAGGATTGCAGCGAACGTGAGAAGACAGTATGTTTCTTGGAATCACGTTGTCGCGCGTGTGTCAAGGGCCGGCAAGAACCGTGATCATCGACACTTGTCATCCACCGCGAACAGAACGAAATCACTTTCCTGTGGAAATGAGGGAAACTACGAGGCGGAGCCGAGCACGACGAAGAGTTTCAAAATACGTAGTCCAAGCCAGAGGAACTCGGTCGGCCGTACATGCGAGTTTTATAGCACACGATGACACTTGATCATCGAAAAGACTGTCGAGCGATCTCGTTCACGGGCGACTGAGCTTTAGCAACCGGTCGGCGATGGTCGTCTCTCGTAATCTTACGAACAAGCTCCAACATGCGTTCCTCGTTTCCTGTCTTGACAACATGATGCGCTCTGTTATTCTGCGCTGAGAGCAAGAGAGAAGAGAATAGCTCGAAGGGAAACTATTTAACGAAAGGAACAAATTGAAAGTGGGTAGGAAAAGGAAAACGTAAAGAGAGGAGAAAATGAAATATAACGAGAGAAAGAAGGAGCGAGCAAGATTCGATTAACGAACCGAAGGACGTGCAAGGACGAGGGGTGCCCGAGGTATAGGTTGTCCATGAACCTCGGCATCCCACTATCCACTCACAAAAACCTTTATGATTTTCTTGTTCTCTCGGTCAGCGTAGAAAAAAACAACAACGGGAAGAACCCTGTGGAACATAACCTATTCTCTTGAGTTCCATTTTCTCTCTCTCTCCCTCTCTCTCTCTCCCTCTCCCTCCCTCTTCCTCTCTTTTCCTCGCTCTCTTGCTCTATGGATTTTGTTTGCAACTGAATATCTTTTGTGTTTGGAACACGGCACTCGAATCGCAACGCTGTTGTTCGAACGAAGGGGAGAGAGAGAGAGAGAGAGAGAGACCATGGAACGTTATTTTCCTTTATCGATTGTCCGTGAATGATACGCATCCTTTTCTATCGTTCGGAGGCTCTCGTATTTCCTTCCTTTCTTCCGAAACAGTAAGAAAATTTAGTTCTCTTAATCCTAATTTCGCCTTACCGTCGGCGAGACTTTCTCGTGTCGATCCATTCGTGGTATCGAACAACTAAATTTCTCGCGTATTCTACTACGGATAAATATCGACACGAGAGAACCAAACAACATAGCCGCAGGCTATTTCCAAAAAGTATGAAGGTTCCACTTAATAGTGAACTCGGCATTCAAGTGGTGGATTGGCGAATCCGACTGTTCAGAGAATGCACATTAGAATAAAATGGAGAACATTCTCCATTGAGAAGAGATGGAGGAGAGATTCCACTCGCTCGTTGTTTCCCTCCTCAAAGATCCTTTACGTACGCTTATTCCCCTTCTTCTTCCCCTCTTCTTCGCCATATTCCTTTCTCTTTGGGTTCGATCTGTTCTTCCAAACGTGTTACTTCACTGGTTGTTTATCGATCTAGAATCAGAAAAATAAAGTTCACCCGAGATTAGCGATGTGTTACATTTCAACGTAAACAGAAGGAATACTCCTATCTTCAATAGGATCTTACCCTTAATACGATTACCAAACCGATCTTTGTGTATTATCGCTAATTTTAGATTGTGCAGTAAGTAGATGTTTATACATGTATGATGTTTATACAGATTCATATGTTTGTGAACATAAAGCGATTACAAAAAGTATTTACACATACACTCATTTCTCAAATTTATTTATCAGGTTCTTGATTTTCATAGTATCAAATTTTTGTGGCAATATGGAAGCATGTACTACTAAATGATAGGAAATTTAACATATACTTTTCACTTTCGTAGCCACTCTGAGCAAAGAAATGGAACGTAATTGTTCGTACTTAGTAAATGAATAGATAGAGATTTTATTCTTATTTATTCTAACACTTTCCGTTCATTTCGTTTGCTATGCCGTTTTTAAATGCCAAATTAAATTCTTCAACAACGATAAAAGTTTACAGAAATAAAATCCATCCAGATGTACAATCCGGATTCAAGATTACTACATCCCAAGAAGAATTAGAATTATATTGCGATTAGGAATGTGCAGCTATCCTGGATTAGTCGTAAAAATAACGATAACGAGCGAAGGGTAACCAAGGAATAAGGAATAAACAAAGCTAGAAATAAATTAATGCATGTATAAGTGTCTCGACCAAATACGCGGACATTAAACGTCTGTATGGGGCAGAAACGAACGATAATGGCGTCTGGTAACCGAAGAAAAGGTAACAAAATGCCGTAAGGTCCTTAACCGCTACCGAAACAGAACAGGAAATGAATTCGAAGTTAAGTTTAATGACCAACATGCCGTCTTATCCAGCGGATATTAAATCCGTTGGCGAGACATTTCTCATGCGAAAACTTTCCGCCGAGCAGGGCGGAAACATACCGCGAAGCATGACTTTTAAAGATTCGACTGGTCGAATACACGGGGCCAGTGTGGATGAGACAGGGATGAGAGGTGAAGAGAAAGAAAATGAAAAAGGTACCGACAAGAAGAGGGCAGAAAAGAAAAAGGGAGAAAAGAGTCACGTTGGAACGACAACGAAAGGGACGTGCGTCCTGACGAGGAAAGAAGAAAACGAATAAGAGAAAGGGGAAAGAGAAAGAGAAGAGGAATAGCGACGAAAGAGGAAGAACTGGAGGAGAAGGAGAAGAAAGGCATGGGGGCTATATTATGCTCGCTAAAGCAATGTTACCAACTTGAGAACTGGCGAACTAGCCGACAGTAAAATCCATTTTATGTCTCCCTCGTAAAGCCAGTCAAATGAAACCCGGACTTAGTTTTCATACGTGCACCCACCCGCCATTCACCCGGCCAGACCAGACTCGGTTTCTTGCTCGGCACACCAGCGGCAAGGTATCGTAGCTGACTTTTTCGAAAGTCTAGACACGCTGGTTCCTCTTCAGGATGCATCATGCCAATTTAAGATTTTTCGTCTTTTCCTCTCTTTTATCCGATACACGATAAATGGACGAACTTCGATATACTTGGTTGATAGTAGGCACAGGGAATGAATGATTGACTGGTTAGATACGTATCGAGAATTTAAGCGACGAGGGTAGATACATTTTTCATGCAGTTTGTAGATAGCATGCGATGATATAGAGTTTTATTTGGCGTTTAAGTTTGGGTTAGTCGAAGGAAATAATTAAATAATTTTAACCGAGTACCATTTGTTTTGCCATTACTGTTTTCATTGTTACAGTAGATAGAAATATAGATAGAAATATAATACGACGACAATGTAGATATAAGTCGGCGCAAAGTAGAGCGTAGAGAGAATTTTAAGTATGCCTTTATCTCGAAGATAAATGTCTTCTGTAAACTAAATAATTTACTTTACCTTAGTGAATTAAGTCGCGTTCATAATACAAGTAATTGCGATTTCCACGTGAAGTTTACATAAGAATGAACCGAGTACGTCAAATAATTTTGCGCTTCGATGGGTCTTTTTTATGTGCAACCGAATTAATTACATACATCCATTTTTTTCTACACTTAATTAATATCGAAGTTTCCGTTTTGTACGTAAAACGATTTAATATTGCAATACGAAGCTCGAAGAATCTTTTATATTTTCTTTTACTATAACTACCGTTACTAATTGTATGTTATCTATAACATATCTGGCTTCCTTCGAAGCTTATAATGTATAGCTACACTTCTTTCACCCCATGCAAGTATACACAAAGACTTTAAAAGTATAACAAAGACACATTAAAAATAACATTTTTTAGCGTATAATCTAATACTTACGTTTCTATAAAACGACGTCTAAAATACTTTCTAACAATTTCAGAATATCACATATCTAGCTTTCTGTAAAATGGTGTATCAAATAGTATCTAAAATATCTCATAAAAATAATTATAAGCAAACATATTATCAACGAGATACAGAAAACATTTTACAACCATTTTAGCGCTCGTATCTCCAATTGTTTTCCATCGCAATACTCCGTACATTCGTCGTAGCAAAAGTTCATCCGCCTTTTAATATTTCTATGCCTTGACAAAGATTACAGTCACACAATGACATTGTAAATTGGGATTCGGGCCAGTATTCGCGAAAATACCATGACGAAGGAATAAACTAAAAGGCGAAAGTCAGAAAATGCTAGAGAAGCGGAACCTCGTTCGGTACTAAAACTCGGCCGCATCGTAAAACGAATCTCGTCGACGTATAACGTCTGGAAAAGCATCACAGCGATAAAGACCGCCTTCTACCGGATAGACGCTTGAAGGATTTTCGTAGACGCTCCTTATCCCTTTTTTAAAGAAGTCATTTTAATCGTCGTTCGTGTCCGTTCGATAACAACCGTGTCCAACGTGTGGTCTTTAAGACCAATCCGTGATCGTGCATAAAGACGCCGAAAATGAATATGTGAAGCAAAATACGCGTTAACTACCGTCTCCCATTTAATAATTTCCACGGTCCTTCCTGGAACATTCTGACACCAAAATCTCGCACCGCTTTCTTGGGAACCGGGTCGGCCGTTACCGCACGTAAAAAACTCAAAATTTATGTTTAGGTTATTTACTGTCATTTACTGAAATTTGTTCTCTGCGTCTTTCGTGAGTTTTACGCGGCGATTAAAAGATACGGACCGATTTTAGAAGTTGAACAAAGTACAGATGGTACCCTACTTTTTTGTCGTAGAAAGATATTGATATATTCTATTTATTGTTTGCCGTCTTATACATAGATATACATATATATTACATTTTTCTGTTACAAGGCAAGATAGTAAAAAGGGAGATTATGCAACAGGATACAAGGCAAATCATAATGCACTCACTAAAATTAAAAGAAACCAACAAGAAATTTACAATTCAATGAATTCAATCCTTGAAAGAAACAAGGAAAGATCATTCAAATCTAGAATATAATCCAACACAATCTGCAGTATTTATCGGAAGTTGGTAGAGAATTGTTCGGAAGAGTGAATAAATGAGCAGATAAAGACCACGGGTTGAACGGAAAAAGTAAAATGCCAGTGAACGGAAGAATGAAGAACGATAGAAGGAAAACAAGAACCGGTTAATGGAACTCGTACTGCTTATGCAATACGATCATATCGATTGTTGCACGTTTTTAACTCACCTACGTAGCTCAAAATTTTATTTCTGCTTGTGAAAACTATTGAATGTTTTTTGACGGCGGATTAGATATCAAATGTTGCAGTTTCCGATTCCTTCTGGGCTATCCAAATCTACATGAGATAAAACAGTCTATACAAGTAAAACGAATTATTGAAATTATTGTTTTCTCTCATTGTCATTTATGAAGTGGTACTATAATTTCCGAAAATCTTTCTTTTCATAATAATTTATAAGAATGATATACAAATATATCTTATAATTGCACAGAGTCAACGTTCGAATTAAATTTTGATTAAGAACTAACAATCGGTGATGTCAAGCATCATTATCGTTGAATAAAATTTGAATGATCGTCGCATAGAATTATTTGACACCTTAGTTATGCATTATTTCGCGACAGGATATGTAGAAAGTACAATCATCAATTTTGACGAGCTTTGTTTTCAATCTGGAACGCGAAGATTGTGAATGGTACCTGATGTTTAGAAATATATTTAATAACCTGGTCTATGTAATCTGCACCATTCAGTTACAATTTCTTTCAAGTCACGTTTCTTATCATATTGGTATCTGTTTTAAACGTAACAATGTCTAATATTTTATACATGTGCGTGTTTGCATTTGACTTTCTTTTCTTCTTTATTATAAATTTCCACGTTAAAATTAGTGGAATTAATGCTACTTTGACTTTCCAATATAATTTAATTTCAATCTTCTACGACATTATAGATTAGAATTTATAATTTAACCGAGTGATATATGATTTTAATAGAAATACAATTTAAATTTATAAATAATTTAATTAGACCAATTCGTTCTGAAATATCTCCGACTATATGCGTCATCAAGCAACGTCACTAAAGAAAATGACTCTTTCTCCCTTTTGATGAATCCTCGATGTTTAACTTCTTTACAAACATCAATCAACAGAATCATTTACACACGTACTCCTTGTCTTTCTATGTTCATCAACGAAGAAATACGACACTGTCTCGTTAGTATTAAACACTGTGTCGTTCTTTTTAAACAACGCCTCCAACGACACGTCGTTAAAGAAAAAGAAATTATATAGCCCATTGCCCGTGTCTTTCTCCGCGGAACGCGTGCCTTAATAAAACTGCTTCAAAAATATGGGGAGTGGAAGAGAGGGAGAGAGAGAGAGAGAGAGAGGGAAAGGAGGAAAAAGGAGGGAAGGGGGGTAAAACAGAAAGGAAAGAACGAAAGAAAGAGTAAAACTGAAAAAGTCATAAAAGAAAATCAACTATAGTATCTCTAGCGTTTCGCAGCTGTGAAGAGGAGAAAAGAGAGGAAAGATGAAACGGAAGAAGGGTTTCGCTATCTCATTGCACTGAAAAGTCATGAAAACGAATCGTAAAGCCACGGGACAAGTCTGAGCGCTAAAACGGAGCGCGAGATGTGCGGTGAATGTATTAGACGTGTAAATTAATTCGATGTCTTTTTAAATAAAATTCAAATCTTATGTGCAGATTATGCGATATAAATATGTACGATTATCAAAATAGTTTCTAGAATTTCAGAGATAGAATTGAATATGTTATAGATTAATTTCTACGTTTAATTGTCTAACAAACATAAAAATACGATTTTTTTACGTATGCTAATTTACATTCCATTGATATAAATCTGTTTTAACAAAGATTAATTAGCTAATTAAAAAATTGTTTATTCGTTGGGATTAATTTCCATTATTACGACTAATCTTCGTTCTTTGAATATCGGTTTCATCTTAAACCTTTAATTACCAAACGTATTTTTTGGTTACCGTCAAAGAGAAAATCACGCGAAAGCATTGCCATTATCGAAATTATTTAAAAAATCCTAATACGTAGATATCTTTATCTTGGTTTCTATGAATAAATAAGCAAAAAGGTACAGAATCCTATCTAATTACAGTTTCATGATATCATCATTGGTAAAACCATAAATATTAAATAATTTCCGTTTCCCTGGCGTACTTGACTATCGTTGGATTAACCGATTTATCGAGCGGAAGAAGATCTCTCAATTAAACGAGTAAATGATAGATCCGCAAGAGAGACGAATAATCTTGGCATCGATTTAAAGAAAGAAAAGAAAGGGTTCTTCTCAGTTATGGTATTTTAACTTCAGACCCTGCTCGTAATTACAAAGTCATAAAAGCTCCATCGATGTTTGCGGGTTAAGATGAAACAGTTAAGCCACGAGAACATCGAAAAATGATCGGAAGAAGACAGAACTATTGAAAGAGTAGCAGAGAAACCGAGATACCTGCGATTATATCTCGCTTCACAGTTCATGTTCCATTCATTTGTAGAGTGGCCTTCTTCTCCCAACTGGCCATGGAGTGCCTCATAAAACTTTGATTTATAACTGTACTCCTAATTTTCTTACCCAATGCGATATCTCGGATACGCCACATCTCATTTTAATATTAGCAAAATTTTAAGAAATTATAGCAGAGTATTTAACAACAATTTAACATACAGTGGCAAGGAGATATATAAATAAGGTAAAGACATTACATCAAGTTCAACTTGACTTGATTTTTTTTTTTTTTTTTTAATATTAAAACGCAAGTTAGAACTACTTATAAAGATGAAATTTAAAAAATAAAAATAGAATTTGATATGCGTTATGTTTCAGCAAAAATGTGAGAAACTCGTTAGGCATCAAAGTTTTGAGACTGAGGACCAAAATATTGAGCGCAGAGAAAAGTAACAGCAGTCAAACTATCTGCATCCGGAGTTCTAGTGCTAATGACACCATGAGAGCACAATAACCTGCAAATTGACGAAGCATGTTTTTCTTTTTACCACACAAATTATTTAAATAATTGCATATTTGGTTCACTATGTTCTTTGGATTACTCTCCACCGAATTTTTTCACTTTTTTATTATTAAAAAGTTTCTCGAGTAACCCTTTTCAGACGGATTTTTCTTCTAGCAACGGACGCTATGATATAATAGTACAAACTATAGTAGACTCGCTTCTGAAGACGTACAACCTAATCACAATTTTTTTGATGGATTATATAGTTCCATTCATAATGGTATCTCATATGCTTAAAGGTCTCGATAATATTGTAAACTGTAACTACCTACTCATTTTGCCAGATCTCATTTCAAAACATATTGTTCCATCAAGGTTGAAGATATGAAAAAATCATTGTTAATAAGCACGATCTCTCGTTTCAATTTTACGCTAAAGATTTCCTCAAAGCATTGAAAGTCCTTCTCGTAATTGACACGAAAAGTCATTCGAGTTGAATCACAGAGAAGTGAAGAAACTCTTAGCAAAGTATTACTCAGCCAACCACCATTTCCACCATCATAATACCATTATAACCATATGAACACCCTATCTATGCTAAATCATCAAGTTATATTCATGTTATTTGCAGCATCCACCATGTCACGATCTTGCCTTTCACTACTTAGAAAAAAGGATTCAACTCGCAGTTACTTCGCCTTTTACATTTTGTTTCGATAATTCAGTAGCGGATGCTTAATCCAATCACCGGTGGCCTGTCCTCTGATAGCGAGTAATTAAAGAAGAGACAAGAATCGCGTCTGCATTTTCCACTGGAATCAACCGGTCGCAATAACACTGCAGTGTATGAGTATGTAATTAGACATACACCATCACGAGGGATTTCCTATCTCCATGGCAACACTAAAAGTCGCATAAAAATAAATTGCTTTCGGGTGTTATGTGCCGTGTGTCAACGTACGACATAGTTTTAAAAGGAGTTTAACTGAGAAATGAAAAGGAATAATCACGATGGTCCGTAAGCTGTGAACGTACCGAACGGTTGAATGGTTCCTGGACAAAGACTTTCATCCGACGATTGATCTAGGCAGATTTCAGGACCAGAGGAGGCTGGTCGTAAAGGAGATCTAAGGAGAAGAAGACACATCCAGGCACGTAGCTAAAATGGAAACGGCTACGGCGGTTGTGGAGTCGGTGGCTGGAAGTTTATCGTCTGCTGGTAAGTGCTTCGCGAATTCTCACTTCTACCCCGTTCGCGTCCTCCATAAGGGGCAGGAAGACCATAAAATCAGCACGAATGCTTCAAATAATACCTATCCTAGCGAATCGTCGGTCACTTCGGCCACAAATTCAACCTTCTTCGTGACGTTCTTAGTTTCTTTTTCCAATAAATATACTACGGATATTTACTCGTTTATGGCAAATGTAAAGATGCAAATGTGCATAGGATACATGCAAGTTTCAAAACTATACGAAATGTCTATAATAATATTTACAAAAAGAAAGCAAACCTCTATTTAGGTTATTACTTTATTACTAGGTTATTATTGGTCTAGTTACGTTCGTAATAATATGAATTTTCATAAAGATCCTCAATCTAGTAATAAATAATGCGTGTTATCTGGAGATGGGATATATTACATGTACGTATTCGCACGTTTGTAACGAGGATGCATACGTTTGTAATTATCATGATCAAATGAAATTCTCATTTTACTCTTATTTGTAGAATAAAAGTTATTGCGAAACAGCGAGATCTATCATTTCGATTTGCCTTTTACTATTTCTACTTACGTGCTCTTATTATGTATCGCCTTCTTGATCATGCTTATTTAATTCTAAAAAGCACATTTAGAACGCCAACCTCTTAATTCGCAACAAATGCTCGGTCATGTTTCCTGTCCGATATCTTTATGGCGGAATGAACGATTACTCGTTAAGAACATTGAAATTCTATATACATATGTATCTTGTTTCGAACATTATTGCTTGTTTAAGCATTTTTAAGCTTTGACAGGTAAGCGAATATAGGTTATACAGACTAAAAAATTCTTTCCCATAATTACGAGCATTCAAAAAATATTTTTTCGGATGATTTTGTAAAAATGACAATACGCTAACAAAAACCGATAAAAGATCGACCAATACCAATTTATTCCTATCTATGGCATTCCTCAGCCTCTTGGAAGAGCCACAGGCGCGTCCAATTTTCTACAAGGTCTCCTTCGAAATCCTAACAACGAAGTAAAGATGTGGCCTCGAGGAATCGATCAACTATTCGCTTCGCTCGAATACCCTTTGGTTTTACGTTTCCCTTGACGTACAGACGCGATCACAGTTCTTGCGTTCTCCTCACGGTCTCTGACTTCAAAAACCGAGCACAGAATTTCCTCTCGTTGACAACGAAAGTTGTAACGATCTCTTGATCGCGGGTGGCCATTCGATTTCGTTAGGTCATAGAACTCGATTATCGTCCATGAGAGGATCGGTAGGAGGCGGTGTTCTTTTCATTAACGAGACGCGTATCCTGGGTGGACCTCGGTTGACTGTTGCTGGCCAAAGGTAGGCGCTCAACAGACGTCGTATTTCATAGAAGCCCGGTTGTATTTTCGCGCGTATGACTTTAACTGTCGATGCGGACTTCGCTTGTATTTCTTCTTAAGTTTTACTGACGTTAGGTCGACCGCTCCGGGCCGTAAACGTCAGTCCCCGCTAAAGCCCCGCACGGCTGCTTGTCAGGTTCCTTCTTTAACCTTCTTCTTCGCCTTTTTACACGTCCCCTACCCGCCCACCGCCAGCTCCCACGTCGAGCCACTGCGTGCACGCTGTCTGCTTCAAGATCCCGAGAAATTGGCCGGTTTCGAGGTTCTCCACAGCCTGCTTAGCCAGAGTCTTAAAGAACAGTTCCTCTTCTCTTCTTCTTCGCGTCCTCTCTTGCGGGGGCTAATTTCGTGGCGAGCGTCTCGTGGCTCTACATCCCGCGATTCATTTCTTATCTACGTTCATTTAACCGTGCAATGTGTCGACGAATCACGTGGCGATCGAACGATTCCCGCTGCGAATGACCGCATGATGAAAATCGTACGAAGCGATCGAACGTTTAGCGCCATGCTTCTAGCCACGGATAAGAAGACAGGTTTTGTTTCGAAAAAAATATGCTTTACGGAATGTTTTGTTGCGTTTCTTACTGTGAATATGTCCTGGAATAGTCGAACCTCGATAACTCGAATCTCGAGGAAAGAAGTAAAACGTTCGAGTTATGGAAATTTTGTCAAATACAAAGATCAATATTTTACGCATTGTTCAAACTTAAAGAAAGACATATGCAATCATTACAGGTCAATTATTTATTTTCTAAGGACACCAAGGATGCTGATGCGAGTGAAGCGGCAGTGACTTTGACTTGCAGCGATCGAACTTCTTCTAATTCGATTTATGAAGGTAAAGTAACAGTAACCTAAATACGTGGAAAATAATTCGATAACTTGTACAAGTTTTCAGAGCGGAGTGGGACGAAATGAATAAAATTGTAGCCTTTTAAAGGTTTATGACGTGATAAAAGTTCGATTATCGAGATTCGATTCTATTTAGCAGAATCGCAAGGGGGTTATTTATCAAGACTTTCTGTCAAATATCTATTTAAATGGAAAGGTTTAAGCCAACGCGACATTAGAAAATAGCTGGAATGTTCAATCCTATTGGCTCCGCTCATCGAATCTAGTACAGTAGCACAATCTTATATTCCTGTTTTGAACTCGCTGTAAAGTCCAAGCTCCTAAAATTTAAGGTTTTCGTGAAATTAGAACTTTACCGGGGGAGGAAAGGCCAAGACAAACGAACGCAACGCTGCAGCATGGCGGTTTTGGGTTGACCGGAAGACGTCGATACCCATAACGTCTCGAGGCTTCATTAAGGATGCAATATAGCGTGGTTTTTGCCCAGCAAACGAAGGGAGCTTGGATACGCGCGAGAGAATGGTCGGTCGCTTTTAAAAAAGTTACGACGAGGTTTTATGGGGGTTTAATTGTAGCCCGCGACTGTGGTTAGAAAGTAGTAAAACTCCTTTTGCCAGCAGAGTCGGGCCTGTTACATTGCTTAACGCTCCCTGATTCTTGGCGCATGTACGTGGAAGACACGACGATGATGAGGATGAAGAAGAGCCGGCGTCGGCTCACGCACTTAGCTGCTGTTAATTATTGCTTTGTCTTGGGAATTGCGCCTCCATTCGTAGAGAATAGGGCCGACGATCGCCGTCAAGGTCTTACAACGCTTATCTCCGTTTTTCTTTCTTTCTTTCTTTCCCTTTCTCTCACGATCCTCGCATTAATTACTTTGTACGAGTTGAATTCAATTTTCAGATTTGCTTTTTATTATACACCCGTCCCGATCTTTCTCTTGATTTGTTGCAGAATTTAAATAATCTATTTTTAGTTCGACCGGGGTTCCTTTGAGTTGATGAAGGAGCTAACTCTTTCAGATATGACGACCAAGAAATGGTTCATCGTCTTTCGACAGTATAATAAGATAACGAAAAGATTAGAATCAACAATTTAGAAAATATAATAACACATAATAATTAATTACAAGTGATTTACAATATCAATCTTTCATCGCTACCAACTATCTAGCGCGGAACAACTGGCTCGATCATTTCCATTTCTTCTTAGGAATATAGGTAATTCAACACGTGTAAGTTGAAACTAATTTTTATTGCACCTATAAATTATATTTCAATAATCCACGGCAAGGAACGCAATCAGGATTTTTGTTTTTCTTACAAGTTGTACAATCGAGTAGTTTCCCCTTTCATAGCTCGTTAAAGTGTTGAAATATTTCGAAAGTTTAATGTTTTTAGCCGAAGAAATATCATGGAACATAATTTCAGCAATAAATTTTCGTGAAAAGAAAGCTACATTTCATAAACGTGCGACGTCTGGCATTAATCGCTCTTTGTGCTTTTCAGGAAGAAAGATGTTACAAGAAGATCGTTCCTATATCCTATGTTTATTTAACTTAATATTTTTATAAATGTAAGTAATGAAATACGGCCTTAGTAGGGATTTTCTTTAACCATTAATATTAAATGTTATAGAGCATATTTTACTTCGAATACGTAATATATTTTTACACGCCATGTACGTGTATTCCGCATATCCCAGCATCTTAAAATTTTTTATGATCGTGGAAGCATTTACAAGCCTGTCATTGACAAACATGAAAAATGTTAACTGTTCAAGTCCAAATTATTTTTACATTTTCAAAAATGTCATATTCTTCTCATCAGCTATCGGTCCTTATTCGTCAGTTATCGGATCTTTACCGAACATTCGCAGCATGATATTTAATGCTTTTGCAATTCTTTGATGCAAAGATTTTCACTTCTGACGCGACTCAACCCAAAAAAAGACAAAAAGACTTAACGCATAGTCGTGTATGAAATTAAAAAGCGATCCCAAGGCACTCGACGATCGTAATGAATATTTTGTAACATCGAAGGTATTCATCAATGAACAGGGTATAAATCTGAGCGTTTTTACTACACGTGTACAAAAAAGATATGCGCTCATAGTCAGCGGTTTTATCTTGTAATGTGCACACAACGATTAGATCTTTATTGTTGCACACTTATATCAGATAAAATATATAAGCCGTTTCGTCGGCTATAGCGTCGCGCGTCGATAACCCTTTAACGCGTTTACAGGATATTTTCTACACGTCCAGTTGTAAATTTTGAGCACGCTTATTTAAATTATAAGAGAGAATTTATGTGAGCAATAAAGTTTTCCTTCGCCGAGATCCATATTATCGTACTGTTTTCAGATACCGCTGACTAGTTTCCATTCTCATCGAAAATTTATCGAATTCGTTGGTTTCGAAACAATTTTCAGCATCATGAAATTATTAACTGGTCGAGTTTAGAAATGTAAGAAGCACTCGATGCTTGTTACATCTAAGGAAAGATTCAAATATTCATTTCACGAGAGAAAGAGAATTTTAATAAATAAATAGCGAATTTAAACGTTACATCGCAATTAATGACGATAAGAATATTAATTGTAACCTTCAGTTATTAATTGACTAACTATTGTACATTATTTATAATCGCCTATTACTGAAATTGTTGTAAAAGTGTAGCTTTCATCTGTTTTTAATTCTTACAAAAATTCAATGATAATGACTAATTTTCATTTCGCATTCGTTTAAATATTTATAAAGTTTGCATTGGCGTTATATCACGTTAAAACGTAACCTATCTTATCCCAGTATTCATTTTTCAAAACAGCATTACAATATCCAATTCATAAAATGTGTATACTTTAATATACGTACGAAGAAATACACATATAAAAGTCTTAAAAAAAAGGCAGTAAAAGCTCATCGATCGTGGTATTCGATCAGAATTGCAAGCATATCGCGGCAGAGAGGGTTACTTCTGTTTTCTGCAGCTGGCAGCGTCAATGTTATCGGACAGGTCTCTCAGAACGAATTTAACGACGGTCGTAAACGCGGTTTGCTTTACAACTCGCGGTATTTTTTCCTCTCCTTTTCCCCTTGCTTCGCTTCCTCTGTCCGTCCTCTCGTTCTTTCCTCTCTATCCGTCACCGCGAAGTCGTAAGCGAGGCGCACCCCTGACTCCAACTTATTTTACTTCGGCTGCAGTAAACTAGCAGAGTTTATGTGACAGACACTAGCAAAGTCGAAATCGTCTCGCGAATCACGAAACAAACACGATCCTCGCGAGGATACGCCAGGGTTCGCGGTCCCCGTGTCTTTGGCCCGCTCGTAAACGCCTTGGACGATTCGAATCAGCAATGAAAAGAATTGTCCCTGTGGACGTATGTTACAAACATATTGTTCATTGATCTGTTCTGTGTACAAAAGGTACAACGATGATTCAACCCTGTCGTAGAATTTGAGACCTTGGAACGATCAATTTCTTCCTTTTTTCAAATATTTTTTAATAATAACAAGAGAGTTCTCCTAGCCAGGAGATTTGTTTCATCTACCAAAGTATCATCTCGATACTTTGCTGTAAATATTTCTACGTATCGTCTACATGCACTGTATGCGTTTTTGCATCTTTGAATTCTCCATAAATGCAGTCTATACGTATGTGCATACAGGTATCCATAACTGCAGTAATGATTTCATAACGATAGCACAAAATTTCCACAAACATAAAATGGATTTTGCAGAAGTGAATCTTTGGATAATCTTCTTTGTGGTCCTTTATGGTTTATGGTTGTTTGTAGTTGTATTTGCTTTTAATTAGATGAGAAAAAGAGGGAACGTAAGTATGTTTTTTGAAATACCAAAGAAGAAATATGGCAGACGGTAGTAGATGAAAATACTGAAAAATCGTTTGACAAGATTTCCCGAAAAAAAAACTCTTGTTGCCAAGAAAATTAAAATAATATCGAGTATCTTTATCTTTACAGTACCGTAGGTACATACATTTACAACACAAATCATTCGTTCGGTAGAAGTTCTGAATCCAATGACATTTACATACAACTTATTCTTGCATTCGCAAAATGTCAATAAGCCCAAACAAATTGCTCCATAAATACAATTTCCATAGAAGAATAGATAACAGGTTGCTCTGAATTCGGTATTATCAACAGAAACACGAAAAGAAATCTGCTTTCGTTTCTTAGTTACGATACCCAAATCGTTGCCTTTATATCATCCCTGGCGGAGAAAAATGCCAGTTCGGATATATCCTTTATAGTCCTGAATTTATTGACTCTGTTCCCTCTTTAAAACAAAGCATCAATGTCATGTATAAACGAGATAAGATTGACCTGTCGTATCTGTTCGCGAAATCTTTCAGTGAAGTAGCTGTGTTAAAGATTTAAATTTGGCCACCGTCCAACGGTACTCTCGTCTGACGCACATGATTCACCGTTCCTATGGCGGACGCAACATCACCCTGACCTCTCTTGTTAAATTTCTTTTACTATCACACGATCTAAATCATGGTAAATTATCGCGAGTACTAAAAATTTCGAAGCATTCTGTAGATCGCATTTCTGTAACATAACAGATATATGTAATGATGTATCCACCTGTGTATATGAAACATGTTAGATTGCCGATTTAACTTGGTAGACTTTAGTGGTTCAGTAGTTTGTAATAAAACATCCATTGCTTAGATAAGTACAGCGACTACAAGCAATATTTACGCATATTCTTATCTTCCAATGAAACCTTTTTATATCAGATTCTACGTTTCACTTGCATAGTATCACTGCATAATTACTGCATAATTACTTAAGTAACACGCATACATATAAGAACAATAACGTATATGAAAAATCATCAACAACTGACACGTTTCCACCCCATCGTGGAACACGAATATTCCTCCGAGATGCACCAAGGTTAAGGAAATAGAAGGACTAACTGAGAATCTTGGTAAAGTGGGGATGATCACCCAAAGAAGGGTAGTCAAAAGTACTCGTAAATTTGATTCTTTATGGTGTTGTCATCGTTAAAACTGAGTCCGCACCTTTAAGTTGCCGCGTTAGCAGAGGTTCATTTGGAGCGGCAGCTTTGATGAAATTGGTCAGATGCATTCATCGAAAATTTCTCGCTATAAACGGTGCATATATGTATACATACACATTTCCTTGCAGTTTGGTCTCGTTTCGTTCCGCAGTAGAATCTTATCTTCACGATCGCTTCGCTGCTGGTTTCGATAAAATCCAATTACGAGACGCTATTTCATTGAGTTTAAACAAAAAATTGTATCGAAATATCCGCGTATATATGTATCATTGGTTTGGGAAAGGAGTTAAAGGACTACGATGTTAATGCGACTCTAAACCCTCCCATTAAAAAGAAATATAGTTTCCTTAACAAATTCTGAAGAAAAAAATACGTAATTCCGTTCTGAAACGAATGACATCGAGTGGTTTTGTCTCTTAAATTAGCGGAGCAAGTTTGATTGTCTTATATCTACTTGTCTAAATATCTACTTAAAAATAATATTGATGAATTTCTTTTATTTCTGTTACGAAGAGGTTTATGATTTTTCTCTGATACAAAGTCAATCGAATATATTAAAGTAAGTAAGTTCGAAATACGAGTATATGCTCTGTAGTTGTTGTCATTTCAAACTGTTAGAGCCAATAGAAAATTTAACGAAAGAAACCAGAATATTACAGAACTTCTCAACTAATTGCACATCAGAACCCTGATAGAAGACACGTTCACATTTTAATGAAATCTTCGATAAAGTACTACGTTCAATGGTGGCATACGTATCTAGCGCATACACAGGACTCCACGCTACATCCGACAGAATTTGTCTAAATTCAGAGGGTGTAATAAAACAATGTTGAAGAAATGCGCGAGTTTCAACGACGATGGTGGAAATTGTCAAGGAAATAAGTTCCATAGACAGTGAACGTAAAATGAAGAAGAAGGAGAAAGGAACGGAAGAAGGAAACATAAAGGAACCGAGAAATACTTCGCTGGTCTAAGCGATGCGGTCTGACTCGCTCTCGAATGGAAGGGCATTTTATAGGTTAGAATCAGTTTTATGTGTGCCGGATTTGCGATTACGACTTCGGCTTCGAACGATCTAGACGAAATAAGGGTGTGAGAGGAAAGGAGGGAACAGAACGTAGAAGGAAGACAGAAAACGTTTTATATTCTAAAACGAAAACTTATCCCACTCGAAGTTTCCGCCGGAAATTCGTACTAGTTTCGTTCTTCGCAATTTTGTCGCTGTTTCATAACTATTTTCATACTGATCTCATTTCTACAAGTACAACTGATTTTTTAGTAAGCACATAGCAAACGTAGGTTCAAATTACGATCGTTTTCTACAAATAAACGAATTTTGCAAGATTAATCGTATTTCTTTGCAATTAAAAAGATTTACATTACGTTCTTTCAGATTTCTGCATATTTGCTAAACATCTCTTTCTTAATCTAACAGATTACACTACATCGTACTAACGTAGTACATTTCAACGCAAATTAGAAACTCTTCAAATATATACTTATTGATATCAATAACTGATAACGATGAACGCTAAAGGAGACTTACCGAGGCTACGTTGAATGTTCTGGAGGACCATCCGGGCTCGATGGTATTCTCGTGCCTGGTATATGAGCATTCTCAGGCCGCAAAAACGGTCTGTAGTGGACAGGATTCGGAGGTGGTACAACCCCTATGTAAGGCACGTGGCCCTCGTAAGTTGGCGGTCCTGTCGGAGGTGCCGTAGGCGCAGTGCATGCTGCGGTGCAACGGAACGATCGACTAGGCTGGGTCATCCTGACTGCTTTCCAGAAGTGCATATTTCGAATTTCGTTGCTAGCTATTAAAGAGAACAAACGAATTAAAAATTGGATACCCGCGGTACTCGTTACGTAGAATTGTCTAATCCTGCTACTTCCTTCGAATCATTATCCACGTAATCGTCATTTTCTAACGTACTTCGAAAAGATCGTTATTGACTACTTGCGACTTTACGTTTCAATTTTATGGCAAAGCTTTTGTTAAAATATCGAGTGTTCTTTCATTCGTTGGAACGAGAATGAAACCAGGACATAACGATTTTAAAACCGTAGCAGGATTAAAGCTAAGTGAAATTTATGAGATACCTAATTTTATTATATCGGACTTGATGTTTGCTTATTCGACAAGAATGATATTCGATCGACGGTAAATAATCGTTGCAGACCGATCGGTTGCTAATATTTCCAAAAAGCTTTCACTGTTTTTAAAATAGTCAATAACTTTATTTTATTTTCATGTACCTAATTTTTTTATTTTTTCCGTTCTAATAAATCAAATAAATAACAAGTTAAATAAGTGTATCGTTTCAGTTTGCTCGTAGCTAGATCTCTTCCTCGTACAGAATTCTATAAAAATTATTCTTACGTTTTTATGTCTTATATCTTTTCAAAGACGAAGTACAATTTTATAATCGAATCATAATACCAACCAAAAATGTAATATTTTATAATGCAGCCGTAAAATACTATCGAAGTTGTTTAATAAAATTGTTCCTAACTACACCTTTCTCGTAACGAGAGTGTTGACGTTGACATCATGGACTGTTCCTCCACCGACTATCGAACAAACGCTACTATACGAAATAATCCGATCGCGTCTTTTCGTTTGACCTCGTCAGAGATGCACGCAACTTCTCTTTGCTTTACTTCGAATTACAGTGTAAAGAAAAGTATTACGTTACACATTTCATCGTATTAGAGATTAAGGCCAAAAGAAAATTTGATCAGGATAAGGAAAAACTACTCCAAAGGAAAAACTAAGCTACCCAATTATGGAGGGATGCAGTAAAATTTGGAGAGGCACAAAATTATATAGAATGCGCTTTATATTACTTGTAACCAATAAATTCCGTATTTTTTATAATTAAGTTGCACACGTACATGTATCATATCCGACGTATGTGTTGCATACAGACATCAACATTTAAAGATAATAAAACTGGTAAAGATATAAGAATCCATTTAAAAAATAAGCAATTATTCAGAGAAATACATGTAAATAAAAAAACTCCAATAGCATCGTCTTCCTTTCTTCGTGTTTGTCTTTCCTGAGCATCGCAGAAGACTTGAGTCGAATAAGAACGATTGGACAATCTTATTCTGTGAATATCTAATAGCCAAATAAAGCAACGCCGTGTCTCTTACACGTCTGCCGACAAAATGGATCGGAGTGAGACACCGGTGTGAAATAGGCGGGAACCGCTTTCACCATCCAAGCTGTTCTCGACACAATAGAACTTAGGCAAGGAGAGATCATCCCTAAAGGGTCTAAAGGGGATTCTAAAAACTGTGCACCCTGAATTCCAGCGGGTTATAACCAATAGGAATCCATCCATTCATGCATCAAAATGGCCGATATTCGAGGCGTGGTTTTCACAACAGCCTACGTACACAGAGGAACTGTGAAAGAACCTATCACCCCATGGCACAGACATGACGACCACAATGCTACTTGCTCGATTTCGTGCTACCATTTTACCACTTAATTACCGCTATTTCTGTTTATATCATTGCCAACTTTCGCTGAGTTAATCAACAACGTGCTGACGTTTTCATTGTATTTTGTGACTCGTTCCAGGGTAAAAAAACGATAACAGAAGGTAAACGCGTCTACGTAATATCCATTAGCAGATGAATTTTTGTTGATTCTCTCATTTTAACTCGTTAAGGACCAACGCCGCGCTTATAATTTCTATTTGATCAATTCGTATCGTCCATTGAATTCTAATTGTGATTATGAAACATTGACATATCCATTTGGCAAGAATTTTTCTTCCGATTGTATGCAATTATCATTAACTAAGAATAAATTGTAATTCTAACCTGCTCTTGCAATGTGTGCAAACGCGATATTAAAATAATTTCGTTTTAATTTAATTGGTAATTATTATTTCGAAAAAGGCGTGATTTCGATGACTGACCAGTTACTATAGGTCAAAATGGGAACGCGTGCAGCAATGCGATCATAATTGAAAATTATCTGCAAGTTATTACTTTGATTATTAATTTAATAGATTTCAACCTCCATTTTTATAAATCGTTTCAATCAGACCTAGAATTAGTGATACGAAGTAATAATATATTCACTTTATCGGTCATATTTTAGATAATCGACACGGTCAAGAAAAAAAGATGAGTAAGGACCTCTTATTTGGAAGAACTGGAGAAACCATTAAAAAAAGAAGATCAATTCACCCTTCAAAGAAAGAAAGAAGATTGCATTTGGGAGGAAGAATTGATTGTAACCACGTAACCGAGAAGTTGAAAGCTGAGCTGCAGATTGCGTGCACTGAGACGAAAAAGACCTTGAATCGCATCGCACATCTCATTCGCGTGATGTTAGCCTTAATTTGGAATAAATACACACACGCACGCGCGCACACGCACATTCTTGTCAAGGTGTAAACGTAGCCTGCATCGTTCGAAAATCTTACATAAGCTTATGAAAATCGGAATATTTTAAGCTTATGAAAATTAAATATTAATCCCTGTATTTAAACATACAGATAAAAAAAAAGAGTTCAGAGCTATAAGAGGACATAGGTATGTACCATACACTAAATAGCGATAAAGATTCGTGTTTTTAAAACTGTAAACAATTTTTCGTCCTAATGAACAATAACACAATTCTTCGTCTGACCGCTCCTCTGTCCTTTATTACTAGGAGATTACTACAGAAGATTTCTGTAAAATAAACAATAACCGTTTCATACGCGTTCATCCCCATTTTTCCGTCCGATCGAACAAAATCGTTGAGCAATTGTTTCAATAATACAAATAATTTTCATCGACTTTATTAACGCTTTCATAAACATTGACGCGGAACCGTGAATCGAACTAGCATCGGTAGATATCGTAATTATATAAAATACGTGCTATCTCTGACCATGATAATTTTTGCCATTACATTAAATAATGTAATGCTATTAGCATCGATAACTTGAGAGAAAATTGCATTTCAAGACGAAGGTTCGCCTTTCCTTACTCTCCTTCTCTTTTCCAGGCATCGGTGCTTCGTTCAATATCGAATGATTTATTTCGAGGCTCCAGTCGGCCAGATGAATCTGACATGTTCGAAAGCCGTACATAAAAACGCTGCTCCATTCGTAAATTATATTTAATAGCGTGGCTTCGCATGCACAGTCGCTGGTTAATTCCGTTCTGGCGTCGCGACTGTCGCCCTCTTATCGTTCGTCATTTGATTCGATACGTGCTCGAGCCACGATAATTCATAATTTAGTCCTCGATGAAAAATTATCGGTCGGCTGTCCGAGGATGGTGATTTAATGTCACCAGGAGGAATTGTAATTCTACCATGCGCTCTCTAATTACGTATCAGACATACACTATTAATACTTATCAACCTCCCGCCTCTTCTGATACTTGCTTCCAGACATTGTTCGATAACCAGCAACATATACAATGTATAGGAAGATTCGCTCGCTGGAGACCACGAGAAAAGGCGCTGATCGAACATTGCAACGTCACAAGTGACGTGTGAGCGTGTCATTTTCAATTTTCGCATATTTATACATACAGTGAAGCGTAATTAGGCGGATAGTGGGCGGTTACACCGTCTTTTAAGGGAAAACTCTAGTAAGAGAATCATCCTGCGTTCCGTTTAATGTGTTCTTTCGTTAAAAATTTGTTAAGCAAATCAATCTTTCCCAAAACATATAAAAGATCAACTTATAATTTCAACCGAGTCGCTGTTATAACGTTTGTCGTTTGATACGATTGTAACAGAAGATCTGAAGAAAGAAGAAGCTTCTGTTGAATAAATCAAATCGAGAAAAAACCCGAAACGAACCCGTCACAGAAGTATAGAATTTATAGTAGCTTTAAAAAATATAGATTCGAACAGTAGGAAATGAGAAATGTTATCAAATCTGCTCTTTTACGTTCAGTTCTAATGTTATAAACTTACAAAAATTCGGGAATGAGCACTGACCTTGTAACGGATATCCGTTGTCACGTTCTACGCGAAACATACTGTTTCACGGCCGAAAAAGAGAGTAGAAATATCGCTGAGCGCTTTCGAAAATAGGATTCGCAGCTGCACCCGCGTTTGCAACGGCTTGCAGTAATTGCCATAACTTCCGGTAATACTAACAATCGTGTGGCGTTACTAAAGTGCGATTCGTCGTGAATAGTAGCACCACTCTAAATATAATGTATCGATAAACGACGGGTTTTCTTTTCTTTCCCTTCGCCCACGGTTGTGTTATTGTTTATAAGTAGCTATACTAGTTATCGTCACGTGGCCCAGTGCGTCACATTGACAAGTTCCAAGAATCACACGCTGTTTCTTCGATATAACATTGATTTCTATCTTTATTTCTAATTTTTTACTGGAAGATATAGCATACAACTCCCGTTCATAAGTACGAGGATATATACAGACAAATAAGCTTCACTTGAAAAATTATCGATTAATCGTTAAAACGTACTTTAATAAATCATTAATTACCGACATGACCGAGTTAAAACTTGTCGTAACAAATTTCTGCATGAATTACACTTTTTTAATTACATTTCTGAAAATATAAATTTCCATAAATATCCAGTCTATTTGTTACTGTGTATATAACCATGTTACTGTTCTATAAGAAACACTATACTATTATTCATAATTTGTGATTCATGAATTGTATAACTTTGCAAATAATATTATTTTAACTTTGCAAGAGGATCCTGATAATGTTACTGCTAATATTATTAGAAGCATCTGCTGGACACGGAGTGTAGAAACAAATTCGTAGCGAGTGTTACTATTTGTAATCGTATAGCTGTGAAACGTCTCAAAGCTCTGAATTAACTACCGGTCATTGGCGTCGTCGAACATTTACGATTCAATGGTTAATTAGTTGTTCCGCGCACAGTGTATCCAACCGTGTACATGTTTTACACGCGACTATTGAACCATTTGTATAAATAGGCGAGTTGAGCGATTTATCGCAATGCAGGAGAAAATTACGCGCCTTTTTGTCCTACCTCTTAACTCATATTCAATTTATGAAACGAGATCGAATATTTCAAAGAAATAAATTTTCCAATCTTTCTACGAGATTGCAGTTTACCGTACACTTCCATTTCAATTACTCATCTTTGTAATCTGTTTTATATCGTAGTATAGTAGAGCCTCGATTATTTGAACTACATTAGTTACAGAAAAAACAGGATAATCAAGAATAACGATTGCAATTTTGATTGGGTTTCATTAAAAAGAAAAAAAAAAATTGAAAATTTATTGCAGATTATCACATAGATATATATCTTCTTTTTAAAAATATTCTTAAAATATATGGTAGTAATTTCATTATGATAGATTATGCGCCAATAAAAACATTAAAACAATCAAATAAAATTGTAAATAGAGGTAGCAGTGACCGGTTGCATCACACGAAACTATCCTTTCAACTTGTTCATCGAAGTTACAATAGCCGAAGTCGGCACGAAATGGCTGAAAACTTGTCATATTATTCGAAAGTCTTTCAAAGTTGAGGCGGTTCAAACGGCCACTTTACGACAGGGTACCGACGCCGCACAATACCGGCCCTCTTAGTTTTACATATCGTAAAGTGCGTGCACGAGCTAAAGAATGCATATAAATCGGCTCGCCTGCTGTTATGTCTCCGGCGTGCAAAGGCCCGTTTACCATTTTATGCCTTTGGGTCATTTAAACTTCCTCTCTCCTTCGTTTCGTCACTACCCCTCTTTTGCTTCTCTCCTTTTCTATCGTGAAGTCTCCTTGAAATTAAGAGAAAAAGGAAACCCCAAAACTTATCATCTTCGATGACGAAAATGAAGAACTCGACGAAGTGACTCAAGAAGCGAATATGTTGTTTGACAAACATAAATTCTATATTTGTAGTAATTCGTTCGTAAAATTCCAGTGTTATATTTTGTCTGAATATACGATATCGTTTTTTGGAGTAGATATTTTATGCAAATAAACGTTGTACCTATCTTTGAAATGGTTAAAAGGCGTATGCCTCGATTACGTCTCAGATTTACCGATACTTTATGCTTGAAAAAGTAAATAATAAAAAACTGATTTTTTGAAAAGTAGCAAAGGCTTCGGCAAAGTTATCGAGGAATCTCTTCGACCTAACTGTAATCTTCAGAATTATGTGATTTAATTACCTCTGCTTTTCTGCCAAAAATAAACTATTTACTTCCATAAGTTTATTTATCGCAGAGCGATAACACAAATAACAGGAGATTCCAAGGTAAATTTTAAAAAGTGATGCTTGTAACGTTACTCTTCTGTACATATTTTCCAATTTTGAAGTCGATCATTGCTATTTCTAAATCGATTATACGTGTAACACACGTACGCACGTAACATAAGGTTTTCCTTCCTTCTTACAACTTACTTTTTTATCTTGTTGCTCTTACATTCGCTTCATTATTTTCTTTTCACAATTTACGCTATTGCCATGTTACAAGTTGTTACTACTAAAGTTAATTAAAATTAATTCCTAAGGAGGAAAGGAGCGTTGAACGATATGGCAACATTCACCTTTCCTACCTAAGCTCTTGCCTCCAACAGCTTTAATTTCGGAGAAGATGGTTTTATATTTTATCTCAATTCTTTTTTCTTTCCTCGAAGACTGATTTTACGATAGCGCGCATACCTTATTTTTTCCGCAATTTACGGAACAAGAATTCTCAACCACTCGAGCTCGTATCTTTTATGAAGAAAAGCAAAAGAGAAGCAAACTGTATTACTGTACGAAGAAATTTCGATGGTAACGATGACCATTCTCCAACCACAGCGAACGCTCAACGACGTATAAACATAGTCATCTTTCGTATAGAACGATTATTCGATGATACTTAACTACAGTCACTCTTAATAACATAAGGGCTAATGGTGGTCACGTGAAATTCACTGGAAAGTATCAAAGATCGTATCGTTCTATAGAGGAGTGTAAAAATTTCTCACCACATAGAGATTCAACAATATATGTTCCAAAAGCGACATTAATTTTATTAAATTAAATACAATAAAAATTAAAAATTTAACGACGAAAAAATGCACAGAATGAGCAAGATACGTACAAAATATAAAATATCGAAAGCATAACACTCCTTACAATGTCCAGTAGGTCGAACAATTTTCTGCCAAAGTCCCATTGTTTTGAATATATTTATAAAAATATGAATTCGCGTAAATATTCGCAGTGCAAATATCGCTAATGTCATTTAGAAGTCAGAATAAAGCATAATACGTTATTGTCTTATATAAGACAATATAATGTGCTTTTATAAGAAGCTTTCGATATGCCTTCCTTTCTTCCATTTGAATGCAACACTCGCAAGTGTAAATTATGAACAGACATTTCACATTGTTCGATATGCAAAACAGTTTTTGTACTAATTCTTATAACATCCCACTAGTTCCCCTAACTACTTAATATTTTAACTTTATAATTTATGTTATCTTTAATTTATGAAACGATATATTCCACTGTATGTGTAATATAAATCAATGCTCTCGAACCTAAAGAGTTTGTCAAAACGGGATACCTCGGCATAACAAATTTTTAATGATTCTAGATGGTCTAGTTTGAATCCTCGGCAGAATACATGTGTAAATTGTAAATGTGAGTTATAGATAATAAATAATTGCTAAACTAATGATCCCAAGTTGAATTTCACGATTAGAAGGAGTTAAAATTAAATGACTTATCTTGAATCTAATCCACACTCTTCTGGTCACCTGTAACCCAACTATACATATAGCAATTAGAGATTAGTAACATACCAATTTAATTCTACGATCGTTTTATTTAAATCCATCGTAGAAGGACACTGATTACATCTACAGGATATATCGTAAGGAATACCGTACACTTCAATTTCATTGTCTTTACCATTTTACGAATACTAAGTCTAACGCTTATAAAAGTGTTACTAACTCTGAAGGATCTTAAAACATTAATTTGAACCTATGCATATAAATTCATAATGGGAGGCAGGGGAAAAAGGAACATTGGATATACATGAAACTTACTAGGGTAATTAACGTACGTTTCATTAAAAAAGAATACGAACGATCGGAGATTGTAGCAGTTTAAGGCTACAGAAAAAATAATTTCATCAGTGGGAGTCATTACAAGTATAAAAACTCTAGACTTCCCCAATAGGTTGATCAGCTTATCCATTTCATTAATCATTCGTCGGTGGTAATTAAAATAAACTAATAATCGGCAAAGCAAATGTTCTTCATCTTTAATTGCAAGCAACACAATGTACACATATGATACTTACACGTGGCACAATAGCCAAAATTAATTAGTATTCGGCGGACGCACAGATTATTATCAATAGGTATGTGCGTATCGGTAGCAGGAATCATTATCTCTCAACGCATCGTGTATATTGTTCCCGGCCGGAAGATAGATAAAACATGTATCGTTATGGCCTTCACGTACGTTGTACGCGGCCTAAAAAAGAAGATGCACCGATGATCACTCTATATGAAACTATATATAAGGAAGCGTCAATATCGATTAATTAGTGCCGCTTGTTGAGAAATCGTCTAAAGATGCGTTTAAATGAAGCGAGCGAATGCTCGTTCTTTCCTTTCTTTAGAAAAATTCAGGTGTAAACGAGCAATCTTTTATCGTTCGGCGATTATTTGCCGAATTAGAAATCGAACGTTCAAAAGAATGTTCTGAAAATGTTTGTTTCAACTGTAGTTTAGTTTCAACTGCGGAATAAGCGAACGAATAGTTTTTTCATCGTTTTATGGAGAATTAATAACAAATGTTTGTTTAAATATTGCTTAAATTTAAATGACTCGTTCGATATACATAGGTATACAAAGACTAACCAGATTTTATGCCTCAGTGACTTTGTATTTTTTTTTCTTCTAATTTTTTTCTTATAATTAACACAGGAAATTTATAATAAGATAATTACGGTATAATTCTTTAATAAATCAAGCCTTTTCAACTACGTACGAGAAACATGATTTATTTGAAGAAGTCTCAACATATAGATGGAGACTTTTAATAAAGTAATTCCTGTATCATTTCTCGAGATAAACGCAATTAGAGCACAATTATGAATGCTAATTTTTATGTTTCGTGCTACAACGAAATGTAAAAATTCACGTTCGATGTAATTTCCTAAACGTATTGAATCGTTTGAAATTGTAAAGAAAAGACGAAAGTTGTTCAAAAAAGATCTTGTGAAAATATTCAATAGATAGTTAAAAGTTACCAACAAGGACGATAAAAATATACGTTGTTTAATAAAATACCAATTTCATGAGAGATACATTGCTTGTAAATCTTTTTGAAGCTTTGTTACGAACTTTTTTCGAACAACCGGTACTAGCATTATTTGGTTCCCGTCAGATTAAAAGTAGCACATACCTCGTAAACGGATATTTAATCATCGAGTTGGACGTTAAAACATAAATCTTGTGTATGATAAGCGACGTGTTA